TTATATAATTGTGAAGTATCGACTGAAATTTGAACTTAAAATATCTATCACAAAAAAAAACCTGGGTTTATATTATATTTTTTAGATTTTTTAGGTACAATATAAATTACTTACAGGAAAGTAGAAACCTTATTTTTAATTTTCAATCCTTAGCTATACAAATTGAACAATTTATACATTTTTAACAGCATAGTATTTTAAAAATTTGAAGTAAAATGCTTATAAAAAAATTATGCTCATACATTAATAACATTTTTAAACTGTTACCATAAAAACGTATGAGGAACAAAGAATTAAGTATTTAAGCTTTCTGACCCAACAGTAACATTAATATTAACATTTATAGAAAATCAACTAAAAAAAAAGAAATCAAAACATCTATAAATCTCCTAATACGAGTCGAAATATTTTGAATATTTTATCATGTATATAAAATGATGAAATAATCATTTGCTACAAATTTCAAGTACATTTTTAATGTGTACACACTACAAAGATCCACAAAGAAACTAAAAAATATAGTTTAAATAGTAGATTATAGATATAATTTAAGTATAGCTTAATTTTTTTATTTGAAAATAGTAAGTTTAAATTATAAAAAAACATTCTTATCAAATAGGTATTTAAAATAACAAAAATATTTATAACAATACACGTGTCATCATAATTTACACAAAAATTTGTTCATATTACTATTAACAACGAGTACTACTGTAATCTGATTAATGAAAATGAGGAGGTCTATTGACAACTACTCCACCATAAACTCGTAGTCCATTCCTTGACAATCTTTCCATGGTCCAAGTATTGTTGTTAGGGTTGTAAATTTCAAAAGTATCAACAATAGATCCTGTTTCTCCGCCAAAAACATACAATAAACCATCTAATACGGCTACTCCTATAAGTTAATGTAATTTAAATTCAATATATTTCTACAAAGGTCGTCCTAAAAAATTAATTTTTATAGTTACCAGGACTATAACGGGATAAATGCATGTCAGCTATAGAAGACCAAACTCCATCACTTGGTCTATAAACCTCAACACTTTTAAGATACTCTATACCATTATCACCACCAATTGCGTACATAAGACCATCCAAAACCCCTATACCAACATCTTGACGGCATATAGACATTTCTGCAACCGGAGTCCATATGTCAAGCGTGGGATCATAATATTCAACAGATTTTAAATAGTTTCTTTTAAAACCTCCAACCTACACAATTTAAGAAATGAAATGTAATACAAATTATAAATAAATAAATAATATAATTATTCACTGAGTATAGACGATTATTGAGTACACCAACACCCAAATTACGTCTCTCAATTGTCATACTAGACACCATTATCCATTTTTGGGTACTGACATCAAATACCTCTACACTATTTAAACCACTGTTGCCGTCAAATCCACCAACCTAGAATTACAAATAATATACATTTTTAATATAAAATAAGTAAAATATTGATTTAACTTACTGCATATATACAATCATCCAATACACCAACTCCCAAAATCTTTCTACCAACTAACATGTCAGCCATTGGAACCCATGATGGTGATTGTGAAGATACGTCAAGCATACAAACAGATTTAGAACTCGATTCATTTACACCTCCCACAGCAAACACAAATTGATCACGTATCACACCAAAACCAGCATACATCCGACATTCATTTCTTCCTGGTGCATTCTTTCTTAGCTTGGTTGCTGGGTCATACCATTCAGTATAACACTTTGGCGATGTATTAGAATAACTGAACATTAGAAGAACCTAATAGAATTAAATGGACAAAATTATTGTGAAGATAAATTAATTAATTTGGAATCATACTTTTCCAAAACCATCAAACTGTCTAGGTTTAAACCTAATTGTTTTTGGAATGGTGAAATGCTGAACTGATTTTTGATGATTAAAATGTAATGCTTCGATTATAAAATCTTTACCTAAAAAAATTATAATAATGATTCTTAGTAATGATGATTCTTAATAATGATAACATATTTATGTAAGCAACATACATTTAGAAATATTGTCTAGAAGAGGTTCTTCAGATATATTAAATAATATATCAGGCTTTAATAATGGCAAACGTACATGTTCCATTAATTTTGGCAAAAAATCTATTCGATGATCTGTATCATGTTTTACCCATTTGATAACACGTTCAAATACCTACAATAACAAATATTTAAAACAAGATTAAAATATAATAATAGTGTGTTCAATCATTCAATAGTGTACAATTATCACAGGATCCCAAAAATATAATAGATCTTTAAGATCATGTGTTCCTACTGTTTATATTAAGCAAAGGAATATTAATTAATAATTCTTATATTTTTATGGTACTAAATAACATATATTATTTGTTATTTTTAAATACACATAAATCACAATATAGACATGCAGTAGAAGGTTTATGTGCTGCGTTTGTGAAATTGTTTGGGCCTACTGACTAATCAATGTGGTACGTGGAGGTGAAAGTTGTAGAAAATTAATTACAGTTGGAGCCGACCACAAAACTTCTTTATCATCAAGGAGATACAATTGATTTGAAATAATTTTAAAAAACTTGTTAACTATTTTAGAGTTATTTAATATTTATAGACATTTAAAATAAGACATGTGTTTTTGTTTATTTTCAATAAAAGTCAATAAAATTATTTTCTATGGTAATCAAGCTTTATTGATTTTAGTTATTTAGTTTAAAAATATTATTTGTAGGAACTGAACATTTTTAAGTATATTGTTATATTGTATGCACACAATGATCTTTTCATATGCACCTTTTTTGGAAAAATAATTAAAACTGCTCCAGAAATACAGTATTACTAATGTCTAATAGTAAAATAAATTAGTTTATCAATTATACCATAAAATATACTTGGTAATATTATTATACCTTTAGAGCTCAGATTCCTTTTCGTTTACAATGATTTTATATCATTGAATTAAAATACAACACATCTGATACAGTGATCCCTGTAGAGTCTAGACATCAACTGAACTGTATACTTGCCCACCTTTATATGTTGATTTTCCATACATAATATTAAAAATATAATTTTTAGTTTGCTTACTTTTTCTTCAAATGGAACAGCAAGGTCATTAGAGGAAATAAGCTTCACCAAATCATCAGAAGATAAGGATAGAAAATCTTCGCCTTTAGCTACTTCTCTGGAAATAATAATCATTATTTGTATAATAAATTACCTACTTACTCTTGATATAGAGAATTAAAAAATGTTAATCATACAAAAAATTTTGTTTAATATATGCTTCAGAAATTGACAACAAATCAGTACAGTTATGTAAGTCAGCAAACGCTCTGATACCAAGACAATTTGATTTATTCAGTTGTTTTTGTAAAAACTCAGCACATACACCATTTACATAATCTAACTGCAATACATTTGCAGCTGGTAATAACACCTTAGAAATCAAAAAAAATTTCACATAAAATGATATTATGTTGTTTGAAGTCTATATAAAATTAAATATTTAATTGATATTTAATTATAGGTACCTGCACATTTTCTTTTGTGACCATAATTTCTCCAGTATAGATATAATCTACTAATAGTAGTAAAATGTTGGAATCTAATTCTCTTATATTAACAGTATCTTTATTGCTTTCATCAAAATTACTAAACATTGCTCGGAAATATGGACTAGCTGCTATTAAAATAATTTTATGTCCAATTACAATTTTACCATCATCTGCTTCAAGTCTAATGTCACATAAAACTTCTTCTCTAAAATCAAAAATGTGTTACTCATATTTATTTTGAATGATAGTAAAATCATTGTTAACATACTTGCGTTGGGATTGTAAGTATTCTAGTATTATTACAGAGTGTGAGTCATTCCTAAAATTAGTTGGTTCACAGTCATTTAATTTCAGAACTTGCTTTAGATTATTTTCACCAGATGAAGTCTGAACGGTATCCATTTTTTTTACTGACCCAACACCTTTGAAATTATTTAAACAATTTTGATTAATTTTAATATCAGTGTTAAATTTTAAGAACCTTGGACAGGCTAAAAATCAACAAAATAGTGCTTATTATCTTATATTTTCCATTACGTATATTTTTAGAAGAACAAAGTTATTTTGAATAAGTTGGACCTAGGTATAACTGTCTTTCCCGAAAAATCTACAACCACTTTAAGGAACTTTATTTGTAACTTTACAATCATGATCAGAATATTATTGTATAAGTACTATTGAATTAAAATAAAGTACATTATAGAATGTATTTCTTAGTTATTTTTCAATAAGTAAGTATGAATGCCTTTCCCAAAAAATGTACAACTTAGTTAGGTACGTAAAATTTTTTTCACTAAATTTTTCTCTACAATTACTAAGTTTATATGTTGGCGTTAAAACGGTTTAAGACTAAACCGTTTTATTTGATGAAACGTTTATATATACATTAGGGTGGTCCTTATTTTTCGATCTCTGATTTATTCAGATAAAACCCCCCAAAGTCGTTTGGATAGTGATAAAAATGAGTTTTGTAAAGTTTGGGAATGATTGAAAATAATTAACCCGTGCCACAAGAGCGCCAAAGATTGATATACCTTGATTTTTCAAGAAAACAATTTTTTTTTTTTTTTTTTAATCGTAGGTCCTAAAATAAGTATTTTTTTTTAAACGTATACTTAACTTTCTTTTAGAGAACAATATTTTCTAAAATTTATATTCTGATCTATTTTATTATAAACTTACAATTTATTAAGGTAATTATATAAAAAAAGAAAAAAATGTATAAACATACCTATTATGGTAAAAAGCCTAATTATCATATTCGATTTTAGAAATTTTGAGTAAATATTATTTGACAATTAAAAAAAATGTATATTAATTATTGCTTCATATCATAAAATAAATGTAATATACTAATACGTAATATAAACAGACTAAAACAGTGTGATGTAAGTGACAAATGACAGTCAATATAATATTTATCATCATTACATGCAATTTTATTTCTTCATTAGTGTTCCTTTTCTTGAGTCTGGATATGTTTTACGATAGTGGTACACAACTTGCAGTAAATATTGTTTTTGGCTTTCGTCTTTTGTTATTTTGTCATTATACTCTTCTATTAGTTTAACCCCTCGCTCAGCAACATCATTGACAACAGGTATATTTTTAATTATAGCTGCAGCTTTTTTGTAGTTTTCATTATTTTGCCAAGATGACGGATCAATTTTTAGGAATTCAGTATTTATTTTGAAGCGATTAAATAGTGTCATAGATTCTGAACATATAAAATCTTCAAGACCTTTGTTTAAAATTGAATCAACTTGGTTTGGTTTGAGAATATATTGTTTTCTGAATTCGTCTTTGGAGTCCGTATTTAAAGCAGTTATCATTTTTTTCTTTGTTTCCACGGAGACATCCTCGTCAAAAAATGAGAATGCTGCAGCTTCTGGAGATAAATACCATAAATGCCCACACATTTTTTTTATGGATATATCTGAAATACTCTTATCGACTGACTGATATTTTATTAAATCTTTTAAAAATGTTAAATCTTGCAGTGGCGCACATGAAGTTAGAGGAGCTTTAAACCAAACCTTTACATATAATTTAACAATAAACACGCATATACTAGCAATAGATATTTCTTCTCTTTGTTTTAAATCAAACTGTTTTCGAAATATATATATTTTTAAACAGTATATTGCTTTGGCCATCCACCGTGCATGGTGTATGGCTCCAGGTATTTTAAATGAGAGTCCTCGTGGTGGTACTCCTCCAAGAAAAATTATGGTTAACTCTAACAGTTCCCTATAATCTTCCCTGGGGAGCCTATTATTTAAATAACTAATACAAAACTCTATTATTTCTGTACTAACGTTGTGCAATAATTTTTCAACATATTCATTTTTGATACCAGATTCAAAATTTGTAGTATTTACATTTGACCAAAATTCTCTAAATCGTTTAAAAATTGGAACGTCTGGACCTGATGTAGTTATACCAAATTTCACTTCAAATACACTTCTCAATACAATTTAAAAAATATGATGCCGACACGGCACGTATAAAATATTACGCTGTAGTAAATGCTCCAATAAAACAGAGGCACCTTTTATACGACCCATGTTGGAGGCAGTTGTATCACAGCATACTGCTTGAATATTATCTGTAACACACCAATCTTCAAGTGTTTGAAATATTGCATTAGCCTGATCAACTCCTGTCCCGGTATCAAGAGTACCTAACCTAACCTAACCATGATAACTTTAATAACACAATTTAACACGCAATATATAATAATGTCGAAACCAAAGTCACAACAAAACTAAAACCTCTTTAAACAATATACCTAGTACGGGTCAGTTTGTTCGTGAAATAACCCATATTAAACTATCCAAGATAAGATAAGACAAAAATATATATTTATTGAATTTAATTAGGTATTGCATTTTATCTTCAACAAACCGATAAGATACTTTCCTATTCAATTGTATGTATGAAGTAAGTTATATTTCAATATTATAATACTTATTATATTGATTATTGATATAGATTATAGTTAACAAAATAAACGCTCTATATTGGATGTCACAATGGTACTATTTGTCCACAAAATTATAAAAATAAACAAAATTTAGTATAAAAACGCTATTTGTTTGTAAAATAATAATTCTATGAAAAATAGTAAGGGATGTAAAATTTAATAAATAGTATTATATACAAATATTGTTAGATAACATTTTGTAAACAATTATTATTTCATTGGTCAGAATTTAAAATATAAAATAATTTATGAAAATCAAAAATAAATAAGTTTGGGGCTCTTGTGGCACGGCTTAACTATTTCTGATTATCTTGAAACTTCTAATATTTCATTTTTATATCTAACTAAACCAATCTAGGGGGTTTCCTTTGAGAAATTTAAATATTTTTTCAAAACTGCCATATAAGGACCACCCTAATATACATCTGATAAACCGGTTTAAGCAAATAAAACGGTTTTAAATACTTAAACTACATAGCGCGAGCGTTTTAACTTTCAAAACGGTTTAGCCTTAAACTGTTTTAACGCCATCATATAAACGTAGTAAATATAAACTTCATAAATCCACATATAGGTGCTCAAACACAAACAATTGATTATTTATGGAGACACTTAAAAGCGCTTAAAAGTAAAATGTAATATATAGGTAGGCACATGGAGCAAAAAACCTAGTCGAAAAGCAATTTATTACAGGAGGCGTTCAGTCAATCTGTCCTAAGATTTTTTTTTTAAGAGACAAAAGACACTTGTATGAAATACATTTTTTACCTACATGGATAATCATAGGTCCGACGTCCGACCATAGGTGGTATACCCATAGGCCCATAGGCGTTACCTATTCAAACTGTGTTATCTGGCTGATGCCAAACTAGCTATTACTATAAACTATTTTACTCTATGGGTCCGACACAAGTGGTAATCTTTAGTTTTTCAGAGGGCATACGTACCTATGAATTTCTAATTCAAAAGTCTTTGATTTTGTGAAAACGCTTACTTTGTTCCGTGTGCGTGCGCTTCATACTTAGGCGGCAGCGGTGTCGGTGTCCGGCGTAGGAGACTGGAGGATCGTTCTCAGCGTCGATGGTTGATTGGCGGTTTCGGCGGTTGGCGACTGGCGAGTGACGAGTGACGACACAGACGACAGTACAACACGTCTTCAACAAACAATTGCGTATAAAAAAACGAGACCACAGCTGCTCATATATCTATGCCACGTCTACGAATTGTACCGAAATTGATGTACGTGTTAGCAATATTTGATAAGAGATTTCAGGGGTTCACAAAATCTATTGCTATTCGTCAATTTGTACACAAAGTTGCCTATCTCAATCCTGAAAATGTATTGCTAACGTTCAATTGTGTTTTTATTGTCTACCCGATTGCCATATAAATGTTGCTTATGAAAAAATCTATTGCCATTATTCAATTTCTTTATTTATGACTTATTCAACTATCAAAAAATCTATTGCTGTTGTTCAATGTCTTCCTTTTATTAGTTTATTACATACATGATACATGTACAATACTCAAAGTAATAATTGTATCGGATTTATAATTGTTTTCTTTTTGAAGAACTGTCTATAAATAGTTTTCTCTTTACACATACTGCTGAACTTTCATTTATATGATTATCTTTATCTAACATGTTCGTTTGAGATGATACATCAGAACTTGTACAAGCTTCATTTTCTTTAAAACTTAACTGACAACGTTTGAATACTCTGATTTGATTTCTACGATCACATTTAACTTTTAATGGCTTTCATACTAAATTAGCAATTTCTGTTGTATATGTACAAAAATCATTTCTCGAGTAAATAGTAATCATTATCTTCAAGCTGTTTACGCAAATTTGTATTATTTTCTGTTTTTGCTCCTAATGATTTCCTCAAAGCTGAGTTTGCATTGTTCAACGCCATAACTAAATTTTTTTTAGCTTTATTGCATTTACCTTTTTTTAATATCACATTACAAATATCACTTATTGCTTCGTGAGATACACCTATGCCATCAAATTCCATTCTTGGATATTTTTGTTGAATGATATGCACTATTTCATCAACTTTTTTTTACACACTCATTTTAAAATTAAATTAAGTATTACTATTATTGTAGGAGCCTTACTTGACTACTTCTCAATAGTAAAATGTATTCTTATGTTACTAATTTAGTAGGAGCCTTACTCGACTACTTCTCAATGGTAAAATGTATTCTTACGTTAGGTACTAATTTAGTAGGAGCCTTACTCGACTACTTATCAACAGTAAAACGTATTATTTTGTTACTATTGTAGTAGGAGCCTTACTCGACTACTTATCAACAGTAAAACGTTTCCTTATGTAAATTCAGTGTTGTTAATTCCTATAATAATAGTATTCAAATACTTTAAAGTACTCAACTATGCCGCCCGGGTACGTTCTTATTCCGTCCGGAGTATACGTATTTTAAATACTTTTGAAAACAGTACTCCAACAAAGTGTTTTTAATTTTTTCTTAAAGTATCTGTATTTAAAATCAAATACTTAAATATTTTTAGTTTCTTTGTGGAACTTTGTAGTGTGTACACATTAAAAATGTACTTGAAATTTGTAGGAAATGATTATTTCATCATTTTATATACATGATAAAATATTCAAAATATTTCGACTCGTATTAAGAGATTTATAGATGTTTTGATTTTTTTTTTTAGTTGATTTTCTATAAATGTTAATAATAATGTTACTGTTGAAACAGAAAATTCTTTATTCCTCATACGTGGTTATGGTAATAGTTTAAAAATGTTATTAATGTATGACCACAATTTTTTTATAAGCATTTTACTTCAAATTTTTAAAATACTATGCTGTTAAAAACGTATGAATTGTTCAATTTATATAGCTAAGGATTGAAAATTAAAAATAAGATTTCTACTTTCCTGTAAGTAATTTATATTGTACTTAAAAAATCTAAAAAATATATAAACCCAGTTTTTATTGTGATAGATATTTTAAGTTCAAATTTCAGGCGATACTTCACAATTATATAAAGAGTCACTATTTTAGTTGTTATGTTGTAATTTAAAAAAAATTATTCATGAATGGGCAATTGATATTTTAAAGTATATTATTATATTTTTTACCCTTCATTGACATTTTCAAATGCAATTTTTTCCATTTAGGCTGATGTACCTTAAATAATGCTTCAATTTAATCTAATTAATACACTTGTGGACAGGGCCGGCGGATTTAAATATAAATTGTATTTTTTTCTGAATTTCTTAAAGCATTGCTTTTCTAGCAAAAAAATTTTTGTTGGTGTATGTTGGTTAGTTTTTTTCTATAAATGTCAATAACATTTTAAAGCTTGAACATTTAATATTATATATTGTTACAATATCAGTTGAAAAATATTAAAAAATACAGTCACAATTTTTTCTTAGAAGCATTTAAAGTTCAAATGTTGTTAAAATAGCGATTTTCTTATTTTGCTGTAATTTAAACACGAATAATTGCATATTTTTAAAATTTCCATGATTGTTATATAAATATAGTTTGTATTTTATTTCGGATTGCCTACCTAGGTGGCTAACTTGAAAGTTAATCTTGATTTTGACTTGAGATGACTGACTTGGTAGAAACTCCGACACGGTTTTCGACTTTACACTTTTTACATAAGAAAAGGCACCGGACATGCGAAGGCACATACCACCCTATGTGATATACCTACTATATATAGGTGATAGACGGATTGTTCAGACTCCGATACTGTTGCCGCGGATCAGCTTACCCCGCTACACTGACAACGCCAGGCTGGCCACCCAGTGACATTCCCCCCAAGCGGTCATGCTGCAAACGCGACCGACCGCGGACGCAACCGACGAGTCGCCGGTGGTTTTACCGGCGTGCGGGCTCTGGTCGGTAATCGCTACTCTCTCGTACCTGCTTGGTTTTTTTG